AAGCCAATGTCGACGCGACCAACGCCAAGAACGGCGGCTGGGACATTGACGTCGAGAACGTCATCTTTACGAACGGCGCGATCGACCCGTGGGCTGGGCTCAGCGTCACGAAGCAGCCCAAGAACCCCAAGTCCAAGTACATTGTCATTGAAGGCGCGACGCACTGCGAAGACACGTACCTTGCCAACGGCGACGGCCCGATGAAGGACGCGATCAAGGTGATTGGCGACGCGGTGGCCGAGTTTTTGGCCGACGCAGCCAAGACGCCCGCTCCGACGCCGGCGCCGACGACCAAGCCGGTGTCGTCGGTCACCAAGCATGTGTACTTCGTCGAGTCGGACGTCGAGTTCCTTGGCTACGACATCCGCACGACGGCGCGGTCGTCGTCCAACTCGTGCAACGACGACTGCGACAACACGCCCGGTTGCAAGCTGTGGGTCTGGACCAAGCACAACGGCGGCATTTGCTGGCTCAAGAACCGTCAAGGTCAGCGCAAGACGTCGCCTGGCTCCAAGGCCGGCATGTTCATCGATCCGCTCGAGCAGGACAAGGAGGACGATTCGCGCATGGTCTTTCCCGAGTAATTGATGTCTTTAGCAATAACGAACGACTGTTCTATGAACAACAATATGAACGACTGTAATTGACAGTTTTGTGATTCTGGAGTCTATACCACAGCTGCCGTTCACAAAATGTCGGTCCAATGCAACACTGTGGACTAAATATGCACCAAAAGACTATCTAGCAATCGGGACAACGTCTTGAAGCGTTAAAGTTTTGGAGGAAAGAGCATAAGAACCCTCTCACTTATCGATCTACTAGTACATCCAACAACTCGATCCAGGCCAGACAGAACATTGCGCGTGTTTGGAGATTTACGCAATATGGTCCGAGTGTTTTGAGCATCACGCAATGGATTCCCGTGGTACTTGCGTACTACTATAGTATGAAGCAATTCCCTGCGTCATGGCGCTCGTCCAGATGATCGCGGCAAGGCCTGCCGTTACGGCCTGTTCAGGTCCCTAGCATCTCCATGTGGCTCGGGGATTAGAATGGCATGTGTCTTGATGCCGTCAGTGCGTGTCGACGTTGGCCGCGAGCTGTCGGCCACGAAGGACGAATACGAGGATATTTATGAACGTGTTTCGCATTATCTTCGTTGTTACAAAGAGTTCTTAGAGACTAGCAATCTCCTTCTTCTTCATTCGCTCGCCGGGCCGTGGCTGCGCAGGCGGCGGCGCGGGGGCTCGTCTTGCTCTTCTGCAGTTGCCCGGGGGCGCTTGCGGCCGCGGGGGAGGCCCATGACGACAAGCTCCGTAAACTCTTTCCAGGCTTCGCGATCGGCGGCAAAGCTACGCAGTATGTTGAGGTCCTCGAGAGACGCCGGCGCCTGAGGCGGCGTCAACGACTGGAGGTTGCGGTGCAGGACGATCGGCAACGTGATCTTGGTGCGGCCTAAAAAACGGGGCGCCTTGGGAGAGGCAAAGACGCGGCAATGTTGGCAGGGACGTCTTTTTTCAGGCGCAGCACGTGACCCAGCAGGCGCCAGCGTTGGCGGGCAACGATCTCGCTCAGCGGGACAGTCTTGCAGCGCTTGTAGAGCGCAACGTAGCCCAGCTTGTTCGGGCGAAAGATACCTGAAGACGGCGCAGCTGCCGGCGATGGAAACTGTCAAGGCCCGCCAGACTTGTTGGCATCAGGGTCCACGTGCCACAGTTGCACAAAAGGACCGGGAGCACTTGTACTGCCGCACACGGTTGCCTTCCGAGATGAGGCCTCGACGCATCCAGATCTTCCACATGTTGTTGAACGCCGTTGTCGCCAGTCGCTTCCGAAGGCGCAGATCGGCCGCGTCGTCGAGGAGGCTGCCGAGCTCCTTGTTCGTGTGCCACGCCAAAGAGGCCGCGTGCGTCGGCGCGTCAGCCTGCGTCGACCTGAATACCTGCGTTTCTTCCGTCTTGTCTTCATTCATCTTGAGGTCCCATTGGGCGAAGATGGATGGCGCCACGGCTTTGATCGTGGTCATGGCAGCAGCGTCGTGGCAGATGAAGTCCGAGTCATCGGCGTAGGCGACTGTGTGGCGAGTAGGGAATACGAGGATATGGCGATGAAAACGAGTGCAGCGCACGACAGCCGGCGCGATAGCCGCACGCAGGCTCGACGTTGAGACACGATTCGAGCGTCGACGGGATGTACGTACACATCGAGTGTGGCGGCAGCGACTGGAGCGTGGGCGCGCCGTCGGATCGGATGTCTCCGTAGCCATAACCGTTTTGGACGCGCAAGCGCTTGACGTCGCGCGGTCATGGTGCTGGACATATCGCGCCATCGCTCGCAGCGTCGTTGCAGGTCTTGGGAGCTTGGAGGAGCGCATCGCGGAGGCGATCCCGTGGCCGACGTGCGAGAGAGGCCGTCGAAAAATTGGCCAGGGCTCCGCCCAAGGGTCGACTCGGTGGCTCTTCACGCATAGATAGGCTGCGCCATACCTACAGCAACGTCGCGTGAGCGCCTCGGCTTGAGGCCTGCGCACGGCTTGCCACGTACCACGTGCCTTGGCTGGCGGCGATGATCGGTGCGAGAACCGCGGCAAGAACACTGGCCAAGTGACATCGCTGCCGCTCTGATTGGCCACAAATCCAACGTCTTGTCGTTCTGATTGGCTGAAACGCTTTGGCTTGGCTCGTGAGGGAGACCGACGAGGAACGCTGCATGGCGCCCGATCGACACCTCATGATGACTTGTGCGTAGAGAATGCTGATGGAGTCTCCTCGGGCACAATGCAGCAGCGTCAGTGGTGCCCGAAGAGCCTCAGCGTCGTCTTTCTGGCGTCACCGGTCACCATTATTGGCGTTCGCCATTTACAACCATAATTACCATATTTTGGTGCACACAGGCGGCCGCGCCGGCGAATCGGCCAGAATGAAGTTTGAAAACGAAATCGCCCATACTTGCCAGAGTGCTAGACCGCACTTCGGGGAGTCCAGAATGCTATGTGACGTCGCCGTGCGAGCTCTGTAGCGAGAGAAAATGACAGCGGTACCCAATTGTTTGATATAGTGTGCTTTTTCGCTATACTAGTACTGAAATACTGTACGGAATACAAGGCCTCCTCACGCAGCGATATCGCGCGCACTTTGCCTCCCTCAGCCACATGCAACATGCTCTTTCACATGAACCAAAAGAGACAGCGTCCTCAGTTTCCGCGATTTCGACGCATTCTCAACCGAAATTGCATGTCGAATTTCCCGAAACCGACGCTCGGCAGTTCGAGTTTGGTGTGAGTGCCCAAGCAACGACGGCGACCAACAAGCTGGTCGCACACTGGGTCGAGAGTCTCGACCCAGGAGAAGCTTGTTGGCTCGTCACGAGTGGCTGCTACTATCGGACGGGATAGATCAACGTTTAAGACCGCCTCCAATTACCCGCGAGGTTATTGTCTTTTATTGCGTAAATCTGGTTGAGCCCGTCTCGTCTAGGTGGATTCGAATTCTTCCGCCGTTTGGATACAGAGCAATGACACTATGTGTGCAAAGGTGGTGATGGTGGCACCAACGATTTTGTACGCCCAACATCGAGCTACAGATCGCGTTTTAGATATCCGAGAGAGAGAGATCGTGTTCACGAGGTATACGACTGGGACGGCTCTATAGTTGGAGCCTTGTTTGAGGCGAGGAGAGGCTTGTTGGCTCGTCACGAGTGGCTGCTACTATCGGACGGGATAGATCAACGTTTAAGACCGCCTCCAATTACCCGCGAGGTTATTGTCTTTTATTGCGTAAATCTGGTTGAGCCCGTCTCGTCTAGGTGGATTCGAATTCTTCCGCCGTTTGAATACAGAGCTATGACACTATGTGTGCAAAGGTGGTGAATCACGAACTGTGGCAGCCAGTTTTACGGTCCTTGAAGCTTTGGAACCCCGCGATGTCACGTGAAGTATTTGGACAATTCTGACACTACCTCGAAAAATGGAAAATGGATTTCCGCGTGATTGCGCTACGTGCAGCGTCGGAAACGACATGTACGTCATTCAACAAGTGTGTGGAGAGGTATACCCGGCTGCTACGTGGCGCTGGCGCGTCTGTGGGCTGCTACTTGTCGTTGTGCTGCCTGGTGCTCACACTATATTTAGGACGAGGTCGTGAACCAAGGCTTGTGATTGGCTATAAATAATCAAGATTCGAGCCAATCCATTCCGAGTTCCAAACCAGCCGGACCCACACCACTTTTCTGCGCGCCGGACCTTCCCGATTCGGGAAGGTCCGGCGCGACGAGCGGCTGCACGAAGAGGCAGAGCGCGCTGCCTTCCGCGAGAAGCGCAAGCAGACCTTGACGGCCTCGTCGAGGCCCTCAAGAAGACCAAGCCGCCGGCCGTCGACCTCTTTGCGCCCGACGAGACCGCGCCGCCGCCAGTCGCCAGCATCAACAAGTACACAGACGACGGCATCGCGCTCGGCGGCGCGCTGAGCCCGGTCCACTGCCAGATAGGCCGACGCAAGCCGCCTTCGCAACCCTGCTCTCCAGCAGCACCAAGACGACAACGACGCCACCGAGGCGCCACGTGCAGCGAGCGCCGACCCCATGGCTGCGATCGTGAGCCGGCCCATGGTGCTCATGGCAGCCGCCAACGATACGCGCGAAGCCGACGCGCTCGGCTGTGCCGGTAACGCGACGAACAGGAAGCTTAAGAAGACAGCGAAAGCCAAGTCGTCGTCATCGTCTTCTTCCAGTCGCCTCGACGCGAGCGCAAGGCCGTCATGCAACGCCGACTCGAGACGCTCCTCCGGCGCCAATGCAAGAGCTTCTATATGTAGATATTTATGTATGAAAGCAAACAACAGTCATAATTATTGGTTCGTCCACTTGGGTACGCTAGCTTCGCACGCCACGGCTGCGTAGGACTTGGCGGCAGAATCTTTTGGGCAGCGACTTGGTGAGGCTCTCTACTCTTTGCATCCATTTGTGATCTGGAAAGCTACGAAAGTACCTGGCGCGAATGACGTTGAGGGGTTAATACAATGTACAACAAGAGAAGACCTGTCATCCCGAGGTAGTCATCCGAGGTAGCACCGTGGTAAGTCATTCAAGCGATTGAGTCTGCGCGTCCAGGACCTTTCTATTGGTCGAAACTGCAGACGTAAAACTGTTTTAATGCGTTTAATGCGTTATTTGCGATGTGAAACACACCATCCTGCGATGGTTGAGTTTGCCCTTTCCATGCCATCTGGTGAATCGTGCAATCAATCGCTGAGGAGCATGATGGCCACTGACGACGCGAGATGCCAAGCGCTGGCGACGCAGCAGCTCCAACGTCTCCTTGAGGCGGGCCTCGTACATGCCGAGCGTCTTCAAGACGCCCTGCGACACGGGCGACGGAGAGAGCAGGAAGACGCCGCCGCCGACTTTAACGCGGGCGTCGTCAAGGGCCTTGGCTTCACGCAGTGGAACGCCGACGCGCGCAAGCTCTACGAGAAGTCGACCTTCCTCGAGCGCCTCGCCAAGCTGGAAGCGACCTTGCGGCGCGAATCCGCGGCTGTTCCTGCAGTCGGCGGCACCTGGTCGACAGCGGAGGCGTTTGCGCATGCCAGCAATGGCGCTGCACTCAAGGGCAGCTACTTTGGGTTCGCGGGCCCGATCGCCGGTGTTTCCAAGGCAATTCTACGAGCACCCAGCGCGTGCAACGACCCTACAGCGTGCGACGCAGGCGAGTGTGCCTCGAGGACGTTCTACAGTGTCGCCGACGTCAAGGCGTTCAAGGCCGCCGTCGCGACCTCGGGCTGGTCCGCGGCCGTTGATGCCGTCCCGGATCGCGAAATGCCGCCGCAGAGCTCTTTCGTCGCTCGCATGACGTACCTCTGCCAACCAATGGCCTCGTTCAGCATGATGACGCCACGCCTCGCGGTCGACACCGCCTCGGTGACCGACATGGCGTCGGCCAAGCAATTTCTACTCTCGTACGGGTCCCACGTGCACATTGGGCGGTTTGAGCTTGGCGGCATCTTTTACAAGACGGCCGACATACTTGCGCCCAACGAGCTGCTCGTCAACACGCTCATGGCCGAGTGCCCGGGCTTAGAAACCGATGACTTGTCCATCGGTTATGGCGGCAGCGACGATGCGTGCTTCGCCTATACCTCGTTTGGTCCTCTGGTGCAAGCTGCTACGACCTACTGCGGCGGCAATACCTGCTCCATATCGACGCGCATCGAGTGTCTTGGGCCAACGACGCTGAGTGCGACGCTCTTTCGGCTCCGCCTCAAGGCCGACGCATCGACGTGGGAGCTCATTGATCGACCGGCGACCCGTGTCGCGGTCTGGACCCTCGTCCAGGACGAGAAAAGGTGCCGGCACCAAGGCGCGCTTCTCTGCGCCGCATGGCTCGACATCGTCCGTAGCTCGACCGACGAGAGTGTCCGTGTCGCGAGGGTCCAGGCGTATGCAGAGCTGTGGGCACTCGACCCGACGTTTGGCGGCATGATGGCGCCGACTCCATATTATTCTGGACCTGTCCAGAGTCTACGCCATGCGCTGAGGTCTGCCGATGCGGTCGCCGAATTTTTCGGCGCGTTTGCCCGTACGCTGCAGCACGATACATATCAGATCATTTGGATCACGCGAGGCTTTGATGTCCGATGGAGCAAGTGGTCAATGGAGATCACCTTGTACACCTTGCGCGACGCCCGCGTGCAAGATGCTCTGCGCCGCCTCGTGGCCGCGACCGATGTGTCGGCGCTCACCGGGCTCGGTGTCCTCTTTGACCGCGTTTTGTTTGACGTTGCCCGTACGGCGTCTCCCCCCGTCGTCCTCGACGCGTCCGTGACACGGGCGCTCCAAGAGGCAGCGCGGCTCGCGGCGATCGTCAAGACGCCTCCGCCCCAAGACGGTGCTTGGGCTCCACCCACCGTCGCTAGCAACGACGTCCCAGCGATCATCTCGATCGTGGTTCAGGCCGCTCTTGCGACCGCGGTGCCAAACCACCGGCTTTTGACCGACCGCCTTGGGGCCATCTTGACAAGAAACTTGAGTTTGCCTCCGAGATCTCGAAAGAAGAAAGCACTCTATGGCGTCGCATGTCGGTTTGGCTTTGTCGCAGGCTGCGGCTTTCTCTCGGTCCTCACGGCGACACACATCGCGGCGATGGTCGATGCCATGAAAGCGGCGCTAGTAGCTCGGACGCCGACGACACCTGCGCCACCCACCGTCGTCAGCGCCCGGTCGTCCGACGACGGTCACCCGCTTTGCCACCTTTTGGCCGTGTCGCACCGGCCGACCGACGTTGCCAGTCGCATTTCATTTGCGCTCCAGCACCGCCTGAGCCTGGTCAAGGAGCTCTACGGGGACAAGACGGACAAGCAATCGACGCCCGATACAAACGACGTGCCGCGTGTCGACGCGCTGCTGGATCGCATGGCGTCGCTGGCACCGACGGCGCGCGCCGACGTGTTGCGTCGCCTTTTGGACCGGCGCTTTCTGGTGCCGTATCTTGTGCCATCGACGAACGGCGGCTTTGTCTCGGACAACCAAGCGCTCGCGCTCGTGACCAGTGACGCGTCGCTTCTACGGGACGTGTCGATGCTGCGCGTCGCGGTCGTCTCGGAACGGCCGACCAAGAGCAGTGCGACCAAGGACTGGATCAAAAACGTCTTCCACGTTGACTCACTGCACTGCCTCGACCGCACGTACGGCCGCCACCGCGTCACGGACCTCGCGTGCTTGGCGGAGCTCGGCTACGGGTTTCTTCTCGAGGACGGCCAGTGCACCACGGTCCAGCTGCTGCATGTCGTGGGCGACTACATGCAGCTGCAACCGTTCATCGAGGCGTTTGCCGACGTACTCATCGTCGACACGGGCGCCAAGCCCGTTCGCGGGGCGCTTGCTCGCGGTCTCGAGCTGCACTGGTGCGTCGCCGACGACGACGACGACGACAACGTGCTGCGCGACGACGACGGCATCTTGTCCGTGTCGCTGGCCTGCCCCATGAGCTCGTCGTACGCGATCTTGACAGAGTACATGCTCCACGAGACGCCTCTTCGAAACACGCCGCGCGTCGCCATCGATCGGCTTTGCCATGACGAGCCGACGTCGACGGCGGTGCCATTGCTTTCAGAGGTGGACGCTCGAACGCTGCGACCGGAGCGACTAGCACTGCAGCAGCTCGTGTGTCAAGCGGCGCCATTGCAACGGACGCTCCAACGAACGATCGACGCACCGAGCCGCGCCGTTGTCGCGTTGCAGCTACAACAACTGGACGAAAACTCATGGAGGCGTCCATGCACACGCTCACGGACCCGCTCTTGCGTTCGTTTCTAGACCTGCTTGGGATTGCGTCATCAGGCGAACGGACGCGGCGGCTCACCGAACTCGGCCACGCGTTGACCAATGCCTGCAAAGCCAACGCTGTGACCGCGCAGGCTGCGTGCTCGGCCGCCTACCACGCGCGCAGCTTGACCGACACGGACGACACTCGGGCAGCGTACGAAGCGGCGGTCCAGCAGGCGACTTTCGCAACGACAGGGCTCGTGCACCTCTGGCGGGAGCTCGCGATCGCGTTCGTCCAGCGGCCAAGCGAGTACGCGGCGCTTCCACGGCTCGCGGCCACGCACCTCGTGGACGGATTCCCGCTCGAGCTCATGGACGGCGACGCCAGTGTGCTCCAAAAAGCGTTTGTGGACGCAGTCTTTGGCCAGCTCGAGTTTGCACTGCCCTATGGCGCCCGCGTCTTTGTGCTTTCGGTCGTCGGCGCCCAGTCGTCGGGCAAGTCGACTTTGCTCAACACCATGTTTGGCGTGTGCTTGCCGACGGGGGTTGCGCGCTGTACAAAGGGCGTCACATTGCAGCTCCTCGCGTGCAACCTCTCTACCGACTACGACTATGTCCTGCTGCTCGACACGGAAGGTCTCCAGTCGCCCGAGTCGGTCGGCGCGACGACCGCGCAGGACAACCGCATGGCAGCGCTCGCCCTCTTGCCCGCCGACGCGACGATCCTCTTGACCAAAGGCGAGGCGACGAGCGGCATCGCCGACCTGGTGCCACTCGCGCTGTCAGCGATGGCCACGTCCGAGCTCCAGCATTGCGAGACGCCGCGCCTCTATGTCGTCTTCAACCAAGTCGACGTGTCGCAACAACGTCAGCTCAGCACGAGCGTCCGCGCGCTTGTCGAGACGCTTCGGACCGGCGCGGCGTCCTTGGCCGCATTTCGTCCGTTCCGCACGGCTTTTTTGCACGGATTTGACCCTGAGATCCACGATGCGACCACGCAAACCGGTGACGTGTGGTGCCTTGGCATGGCAATAGGTGAGAGCGTACCGCCGCACGACACACCGCTGCCCGACTTTGGCCACCGGGTGCTGCAGCTGCGCGACCACATATTATTGTCCAAGCCACAGTGCGGACGGACCGTCCGTGCGCTGCGCGCATCGTTCAGGCACGTTGCGCGATGCCTCGAGACGAGTCATTTTGAAATGGGCTTTGACACGGTCCGTGCACGCGTCGCCTTTGAGACGCTCGCGCGGCGCATGCAAGAGCACACCAAAGCAGCTGCAGAAGGCTACAACAAGGCGATGGATGCCGCGTGCGCGGCCATTGATGCGGCAGTGGCGACATATCCACGGAGCCTGTTTTTCTTCACATTCGGCAGCAGCAAGTCCGACATCGACCACAAGTACGAAAGCCTTTTGGAGCGCAAGATCCAAGCAACGATCAAACCCCTTGATGCGGTCGTTGAAGCGCTGCTGGCCGACGCTGCCTATGCCACGTGGTCGCTGCAGATGCAGGAGGCGTGGGCCGAGAGACAGCGACGGGCCGACTTGCATGCCAAACGCGTGGTCGCCGCCAAAGTCCAAGGTAGCTTCTTCTCCTCGCAATACGAGGAAGAGCTTGCCGATGCTGTGAAAGCCCGGTATTCCGATGCACACACGTCCATGGCGTCGTTCGACACGATCTTTGACGAGCTTGTGCGTCAACATCCAGAGCGCTACGGTCTCGAGGCCGACCGCGTTCCAGCGTTGGTCTATCATGCCGTCTGCCACAGTCACGTCTTTACGCCGGACGAACTTGTGCCGCCCGACGTCGATGGTGGCAGCCAAACAGGCTCCGCACGGGACGACGAGGTGCGCGGGGCAGTTGACGAGCTCATCCGCGCGCACGTCACGGACGACATCAATCGCTACGATGAGGCTGCGGTGCTGACATGTGCGGCGGCAGTGCGGCAGAAGCTGCTCGCTTTGAAGCACGTGACACTGCGTGAAATCCAAGTCGGTGTCTCGACACTGCTTTCGACGCTGACCACAGACATGCGCCGTCGGCAAGCGCACTGGGACGCGGTCGACGGCGCCAACCTCGCGGACATCAAGTCGACGCTGCGTGCGACGGCGCAGCGCATCTGCAACGGACGAGGCGCGGCGCTGGAGCTCACAGAGGCGCTCGACGAATGGCTCGAGACGCACTGGGAGGACGCGTGCCACCAACAAGTTGTCATCAACGTCGCGCTGGAGCTCCAGGAAGCGCCCTGGGTCGAATCGCCCGAGGCCATGCAGGCAGCCTTGGACAAGCACTTGCTGCAAATCGTGCGCAAAACACGGTATCGGGACACCGTCGACTGGATCCTGCGTCCCACCGACCACGTCGAGCTCGTCACCCGCCAGCTCGTTGAGGCCAAGGTCCGCGAGCGCTTTGAGAGCATTACCGCTTCGCTCGTCCAAGGCGTGCACGACAGCATCCTCTGCGCAGCGACCGAGGCCTCAAGAGCCAACGACCAGCACTGCAGCCGCTTTGTGAATGCGCTTCGTCGGTCGCTCAAACGTCAGCTTGCGCAGGGAGGCGCCAGTGTTTTTTACCAAAAGATGCCGTCGACAACCAACGACGGCGACGACCCGTGGGCGTTTGACCCAACGACGCCGATGACGGGAACGCAGCTCTACGTCCCCCAGCGACTCTTGGATCGGCTCCACGAGGTTGCCACACGTCTCCGGCCGTCGCAGGGTGTAAGCTCGGCCGTCACCACTGCCATTTTGTATCTTGAGGACGCCAATGTCCTCGTGGCGCGCTGTGGCGAGCCGTGTCCCCGGTGCGAGTGTCCGTGCACGAAAGCTAGTGGCCATGACGACGACCATGACACGTACCACCAGCCGCAAGGCCTCGTTGGCACCATGGATGCCGACGGCGAGCTCATCGCGGCAAGCTGCGCGCACGACGACTCGTTTGCTGACGAGTTTTACGCGTGGGCCGTGCCGCGCGAAAACGTGTCGTTGCCGCTGCGCGAGTACATCTTTAGCGTCGCCCAAGACGAGATCCTTCGACGGCGGTGGCGTGCGGAGCGCTGCAGTGCGATTCCGAGTGCGTATTATAACCACTATCTTGGCGACATGGAGGATGCGCTGGATTTGCTCCTCTCTTGATTGCGAATGTCTTGCCAAGTCGTCGAAAAAAAGGACTTTCTACAATCTCATGTGGCATTGATCCGAGGTTTCGGACGTATTGCGTGTAAACGGTCACGGCAGAATAGACAGGACAGTGTAATGACTCTATTGATCAATATACACTGGCTTAGGCTTGGATCGAGCCCGCAATGGCGCCGTGGTACACGGACCGGTTGCCCTTCTTGCTCTTGAGCCAGCACGTCCCGCCGTTGTGACGGTTCCAGACCCACACGGAGCACCCGGCCGTCGCATGGCAGTCACCGCAGCAGTCGTCCGACGACGCGCGCGGAATCGCTGCCACGTCGTTGCCGTAGTAGTCGATGTTGGCTTCGATCGCACAGGTCGTCGGGGCCGCATCGACGACACCGACCATCGCCCCGTGGTACGTCGACCGTGTCCCCTTCTTGGACTTCAACCAGCACGTGCCGCCGTTGTGGAGGTTCCAGACGTACACCTTGCAGCCAGGGGTCTTCCGGCAGTCGGCGCAGCAGTCGTCGGCCGACTTGCGGGGCACGGACGCAATGTCGTTGCCGTAGTAGTCGGTGTTGTGCTCCATTGGCGGGCAGTTATCGTTGGCAGGCGCGTCGATGACGCCGGCCTTGGCACCGTAGTACGTTGTGCGAGCACCCTTCTTACTCTTGAGCCAGCACGTGCCTCCGTTGTGGAGGTTCCAGACGTAGAGCTTGCAGCCCGGCGTCGCCTTGCAGTCAGCGCAGCAGCTGTCGGCCGACGCGCGCCGAATCGCCGCAATGTCGTTGCCGTAGTAATCCGTGTCCATCTCCATCGGCGGGCACATGCTATCTGGTGTCGGGGCAGTTGTCACTGGCATCATCGTTGGAACGGGTGTCAACTTGGTCGTCGGCGCCGGCGTCGGTGCGGGCGTCTTGGCTGCGTCGGCCAAAAACTCGGCCACTGCGTCGCCAATCACCTTGATCGCGTCCTTCATCGGGCCGTCGCCGTTGGCAAGGTACGTGTCTTCGCAGTGCGTCGCGCCTTCAATGACAATGTACTTGGACTTGGGGTTCTTGGGCTGCTTCGTGACGCTGAGCCCAGCCCACGGGTCGATCGCGCCGTTCGTAAAGATGACGTTCTCGACGTCAATGTCCCAGCCGCCGTTCTTGGCGTTAGTCGCGTCGACATTGGCTTGGAGCTTGGCCGCGTTGATGCCGAATGCTGCGCAGGTCGACGACGCCAGAACGTTCTCGGGCGTGAGGAACCCAAGGCCGCGGAACGGCGAGCTCACGCCCGTCGTCGCCGTCTGGAGAAAACCAAACTCGTTGCATGTCTGGTAACCCCACTGACCAAACTGGTTGTCAGCTGCTTGCTTGAGCTGGCGGCCCCAGATCGGACGGTCGTCGTCGGTGGTCGGCGACGGCTTCTTGGTCGATGGCGCCGGCGTCGGCTTGGGCGACTTGGTCGGGCACGCCTTGGCCGCCGTCATGTACAGCTTGCTGAGACGGTCCAGCGGCTACCCGATGACGAATCAGTACACCACGTCTACTCAAGGAGGACGACATACCGTGGCGCCAAAGCTCGGGTTCTTGAGCACGGTGCAGGCCGTGGCGAGCGAGCGACCGTTGTGTACCTTGTACTGCGCCATGGCCTTGAACTCGTGCGCCATCATCCACTCGAAGCGGTACTTGTTGCGCTGCGTCGAGAGCTTGGAACAAATACCAAAGCTGTCGTAGAGCTCGTCGCTGTCCGCCTCAACGAGCGCGTGGAGCGAGTCCATTGCCGACTTGACGTTGTCAACGCACTCTTGGCCGCCATAGTGCTTGAGGCCGCGCGTCACGCCTTCGAGGTACTCCTTCATGTCGACCTGGGCTTGCACCGGCGCCGACGACGCGACAGCGCTATGCATTACATTCCATTGTAAACGCTACGGAACACACGGGTGCGATATGTCGTACCCTGCAACCAAGGACGGGTACTTGAGCTTGAACCACGACGAGAGCATGCCGGCGTACGAGTAGCCCCACGCGATCCAGGCCGCGCCTTGGAGGTTGTGCTTCTCGGTGAAGAAGGCGTGGAACGTCGCCTACTGCACCTTTAGACATCGAGACCATCGTCGTGTGCACAACGCACCAGATCGGCGAGCGCGGCGTCCGACGACAGATACTTTTGCATCGCGGCCTTGGACCGGTCGCCGTTCGGGATCGAGTCGCCATAGTACCTAAAATAGAGTCGTTGATACCAATCCATATCTGACACAGGCTTCGATACCGGTGCTCGACAGCGACGACCATGGCCTTGTGCTTCTTGGCCAAGTCGTTCATCGTGGAGCGGGACGACGCGACGGTTTGCGCTTTCGCCTCCCACTCGCCGTTGATGTAGAGAAAGACAGGCGACCCGGGACCGCCATACCACTCGTCGTTGTAGTGGTAGCGCTGGCTCCAGTTGCCGGCGCTCGGGTTCTTGTGGTCGAGGATCGCGCCCGTGAACCAGAGGTCTTGCTTGGTGTCGGAGCCAAAGCGGTTGGAGAGGTCGACGTCGTCGTCGCCATGGATCTCACGCAGGATGTTCATATCGAACCCATTGTCGAGGTCCGTCACGAGCTGGTTGTTGGCATCGTCGGCCGACACGAGGAGCGCGAGCGCCGCGGCAACAAGAATCTTGGGCGCCAACATGGAAATTGAAAAGTGAGTGTGTTGGGATTGGAAAGCGACGACAAGGCTCGGACGTCGGCCGAAGACTCGGCTCCGTCTTGCGACGTGCATCACGTGTCTCAAAGCATGAGTCATGGCTAACAACAAATATGTCGGCGTGGTGCCACGCGGTTAAAGCCATCGCAAGAAAGGGCCACCGGCTTTTATGTGATCACGGAATAATCGGCGGTATGCACAGCGACCGTCCATTGTGCCATGACTACCATATGGCGTTTTTGCGTGCATGACGGCGTCTGTACACTGCAGTGCGAGACAGAGAAACTAGTGCGCTGTACAGTACAGTATGCAGCACTGTGGCCGGAAGCGGAACCTCGAACGACTCGATCTCACCGGCGGTGAGATCGACGCATGCGGTAACTCACCGCATGCGTCGGTGTGGGGCTGCACAGAGCCACCTCTGTGCTCTGGCTCGGCCACCGAATCACGCCGTGTTGGTTGATCTAGAAGCGAGTACCAGGACACGATCAGTCGTGGGCGTCGATGGCGGTTGAGCAAAACCGCTCCGACATACTATTAAATAATAATAACGTTAGTACACCAGTGCGTCTACAATGTACTAGTAACGTTAGTATGTTTAATACCGGTATACCGGTATTTAGATATTAATACGTGTACGTGGCGACATCAAGCCAACATCTGCGATGCGGCCGCCCGCCTCGATATTTTGCGCCTGGATCACCCTTCACAGGAGCGGTATGCGAAAGATGCAAACTTATCCATGACCCTCTCCACTTCAAGGCCGCGTTTTCGCAGCTTTGAGATCTTCCGAAGTCCTCGGTTACGAAGTCGGCTCAGCAGACGAGTAGTACCTGTAGCATCATGCCGTAGGACCATGTATGCTGCTTGGAGTCATCGGTGCGGATGAAGCATACCACGGTATTTATAGTATACCAAGGCGAAGACTGACATACATCAACGCGTCTTTTGCACAACAAGCCTTCGCGATGGTCAAGTAGAGCACGATACGAATATCATGGAAGCCCGTGCACGACACGAACGTGACATAGTCACTAAATACCCCAAGGCAAGCTCTCGTCTTTGAGCGCTGACGTGGACGTCGATTCTGTGGATGGATGACACGATAGAATCAGAGCATCGACAGAGCTCAAGCCACCGGCGCGCATTATTATTCCATACCCCTAAAGATCATATTACAAATTGCAGTGCTGCGATGCACAGGATGCATTGTGGATGACATACTACAAGCGAATCGTAATCGAGGGCCGCCACCGCAAAGAACGGACTCACGGGCACGGAGCGAATCCGAGCGCATTTGCCCAACCACACGTGAAAGCGAGATCGGAATTTTGGATCGACAACACAGTCGTCTTTCGAGCAGGACGCAAGTAGCTGCTTCTTACGGCCTGCACAAAACGACATGACAAGTTTCGCGAAAAGACACGTTGGTTTATACTGAATCGCCATGCCAAGCCGGTTGCAGTGTGTGTGCTGCAGTGGCAGAAACATCTGTGTTGAAGTGGCGTCGATTCTCCAAGTCTCCAATATTTGAAGGGCATAAAAACTAACAGGTTCACGCCCGTGTTCAGCCCGAGACAAGTTTGTACTGTACCAATAGATGTCAGCAGTCGACACACCGGATGTCACTTCTTTCCTTATGCAAAGATGCAGTCCTATCCACTGTCACCCAGCTGTCGTACCCCTACGATCTGTCATGTCCATCCGAAGTGCTCACCGCAACGAGCGTATCACAGCGCATCACGCGAGTCTGCGACTAGAGTGGTACTAGGACAATCTGTTGCCGACCAGCTTCAGGATCGCCGGAATAATATGTGGAATAGCTTTCAGAACGTTAAATAGCGCACGATGGCTGGTAGCTATGGCTGGTGTATCCACGGCATGCCACCCACAGCAATGCGACTTGGCGTGTTACACTGGTCAGTGTAACACGCCAAGGCACAACCTACAAAAAGTCGTAATCGATGCTCACTTTTCAATTGCCATGCTGGGACACAAGCTCCTCTCGGCGCTCATCGGGCTGCCACTGCTCGTCCTTGGGCAGATCGCTCCGCCTTTTGACATGCACGCGCTCCGTGAGCGGATGCTCGGGAATGCGTCCATTGCCAACCGGCTCGAGAACACCGTTGTCGACCTCTGGTTTGACGAGGCGATTCTTGACCACAACGACTCGAGTGCCGGCCACTGGAGCCAGCGCTACCACTACAACGACGCGTACTATGGCGGCGCGGGGTCGCCCGTGTTTCTCTACATCAATGGCGAGTGGGAGGCGTCATCGTACACAGTCTCGGACACAGGCTCCACCATGGTCGACTTGGCCATCAAGCACAAGGCGATGATCGTGGCTGTGGAGCACCGGTATTGAACCATATGCCCCTTGAGTGTACCATCTCACACATCCTAGCTACTATGGTGACTCGATCCCGAACGGCGACCAAAGCGAGGCATCGATGCGCAAGTACCACTCGTCGACGCAGGCGCTGGCGGATCTCGTTAGTCTTCAATCCCCGAACGTTGGTGACGACCATCTCATGCTCGCTCTAGGCGACTTTCCATGCTTTTTTTACAAAGAAGCACAACCTCCAAGACGCGCGCTGGATCGCGTGGGGCTACTCGTACGCGGGCCAGCTCTCGGCGTGGTTCAAGCTCAAGTACCCGTCCTTGGTTGCTGGGTACATCGTTCTTGCCCGAGTGTCGGTTGCGCTGACGATGTCTTTAAATGGTGTAGTGCAGTGGCGTCGTCGGCGCCTGTCCAAGCCTCGTTCGACCACAAGGCGTACATGGAGGGCGTCACGCGCGGCCTCAAGTACCATGGCGGCCAGAGCTGCCTCGACAACTTTGAATCGGCCATCAACGACTTTCATGCTCTCGTCGTTGCGGGCGGCAACCCACTACGCACCAAGTTTGGCACGTGCGGCGCGACGGCGACGCTCCAGGAGAAGCAAGCGATCGAGTGGGAAGTCATGAGCTACTACCATGGCATTGGACAGAGTGGTCGCGACCATGGGTACTCGATCAAGGACGTTTGCGACTACATGGCGGACCCGGCCAATGGACAAACGCCCATGGATCGCATGAGCAAGTGGAAGCTCGCCATCTACCATGGGTGCGCGCCAGGCTTTGTCTTCAACGGCAGTAAGTGGGTTCCGGTCCGCGCCTTGCGTCAAGGTACGCACTTGTCATGGACGCTCTGAACAACATGAACTCATCACGACTTGGTTGCTAGCCGCCGACCCTGATTTTGGCCAGTGGACGTGGCAGACGTGCAATGAATTCGGCTTCCTCATCACGGCGAGCACGGGCGACAACACGCCGTTCCGCGGCCTTGCGTACGCGAGCCCCGAAAACGTGCATCGCTACTCGCCGTGCACGACCCGCTTCCATGTGGATGCTGCGACGCTCCAAGCCAACGTCGACGCGACCAACGCCAAGTACGGTGGCTGGGACATTGACGTCGAGAACGTCATTTTTACCAACGGCGCGATCGACCCGTGGTCTGGCCTCAGCGTCACCAAGCAGCCCAAGAACCCCAAATCGCGCTTCGTGGTCATCGAAGGCGCGACGCATTGCGAGGACACCTACCTCTCGTATGTTGACGGCCCGATGAAGGACGCGATCAAGATGATTGGCGACGCGGTGGCTGACTTTTTGGCCGACGCGCCACCGGCGGCCACTGCCGCGCCAACGAAAGCCCCGACGCCTGCCCCGACGCCTGCCCCGACGCCTGCCCCGACGCCCGCTCCGACGACCAAGCTGGTGACGCCTGCCCCGACGGATGCCCCGACGGATGCCCCGACGCCCGCTCCGACGACCAAGTTGGTGACGCCTGCCCCAACGCTGGCCCCAACGGAAGCCCCAACGGAAGCCCCAACGGAAGCCCCAACGGAAGCCCCAACGGAAGCCCCGACGGATGCCCCAACGCCCGCTCCGACGACCAAGCTGATGACGCCTGCCCCGACGCCTGCCCCAACGACCAAGATGGCGACGCCTGCTCCCACATCGGATGCCATGTGCGGTCCCATGGAGAAGGACACTGATTACTATGGCAACGATGTGGCGGCGATCCCGCGCGCGTCTGTTGCTGACTGCTGCGCCGACTGCAAGGCGACGCCAGGCTGCAAGCTCTATGTCTGGAACCGCCACAACGGTGGCACGTGCTGGCTCAAGAGCAAGAAGGGTGCTCGGTCCGTGTACCCCGGCGCGGTCGCCGGTACCGTGGATGTCCCTCTCGTCACGGAAGCGCCGGTCGCGTGCCCGCCGATGGAGATGGACACGGATTACTACGGCAACGACATTGCGGCGATTCGGCGCGCGTCGGCCGACAGCTGCTGCGCTGACTGCAAGGCGACGCCGGGCTGCAAGCTCTACGTCTGGAACCTCCACAACGGAGGCACGTGCTGGCTCAAGAGTAAGAAGGGTGCTCGCACAACGTACTACGGGGCCAAGGCCGGCGTCATCGACGCGCCTGCCAACGATCACTGCCCGC